CAGGGTGGCATGTAAACATCCCAAAACCTAACATCATGCAAATTAGGAAAAGATGTAAAATTTATCAGATGACCAGAAATTACTTCAGGAGCAGAAGCAAGATGGAAAACCCAGGAAATAGCTCTGCCCCTAGGGAAAAGACAACTCAGCATTCACAGACAGTACAATGGAACTCATGGAAATGTTAAATAAAGAATTCAGAATATTCATAGTGACAAAACAAGAAGAGACGCAAGACAAAATAGACAATGAATTCCAGATGATACAAGAGAAAAGAGACAAAGAGCCACAGTAGTTGTGGAATTCCTTCCATGATTTGAAAGAAGAAATATACACCATAAAAAAGAATCAAGTGAAAGTCTTAGAGGTGAAGACTGTAATAAAGGAAATCAAACCTCCCTCAAAAATATTAAAAGCAAATTTGATCATGCATAAGACTGGATCTCAGATGTAGAAGACAAAACTGCCAACCTAGAAAAATATCACCAAAAAGACTGAGGAAAAATAACCTCCCCAGATAAGAATAATATGTAAGAAATGCTAGATACCATTCAACATCCCAACATCTGGATAATTGGTATCCCAGATGGTGAAGAAAGTAATAAGGGCATTGCTTATCTATTCTATGAAATTTTGGAAGAAAACTTTCCAATCCTAGAGAAGCATTCAAACATCCAGACCCAAGAAATACAAGGACCCCCAAATAGAATTAACCCAAAAAGATCTTTTCTACAGCACATCATAGCCAGATTGGACAAAACTACAGAAAAAGACAAGATACTAAAACTGGCAAGAGAAAATGTCAAGTTACCAACAAAGGTTGCCACATCAGGCCAACTTCAGACCTCCACCAGAAACAATGCAAGCAATGAAGAAATAGGATAATATATTCAAAGTACTAAATGAAAAACAATTTCAACCAAGATTATTATACCCAGCAAGATTATCCTTCAAAAGGGAAGTAAAGATAAAAACATTCTCAAATAAATAAAACCTGAAAGAATTTATCAGCACCAGACCAACTCTTTATGAAGTTGTAGAGGGAGTGCTATACAAGGAAAACTAAAGACAGACAGGCAGAAATAAAGGGAAAATAACAAAAAATAAAAAATAAAAAAGGCCTATTTAATGATTGGAACTAGTTGAGAAATATTGATAATAACAAATATTAATAGATTAAATTATCCAATCAAGAGGCACAGACAGGTTGAGTGGATAAGAAAAAAAGAAAATTTCTGTCTTCTGCCTGCAAGAAACACACCTCATGGATAAAGATGTACATAGGCTAAAAGTGAAGGGCTGGAAAAAGTTATTCAATGTACTGGAAAACAAAAAGTGCTGGAGTCATGATACTGAACACAGACAAAATAGGTTTGAAGACAAAAACTGTAAGAAAAGACAAAGAAGGTCCTTATATTTTTGTAAAAGGGCTAATTCATCAAGAAGATATAACATTTTAAATACCCATGCACCAAACTCAGGAGCACCCAAATATGCAAAGGAAAGACTGCTAGATCTAAAAGAAGAGATTGCAACACACAAAGTTTTGGGAATAATCCCAAAATAGACAAGTGGAGTTACATCAGATTAAGAAGTTTCTGCACAGGGACCAGCAGTTAGCATAATGGCTATGTCGCTAGACTTCGATGTAGTCGACTGCGGCCCATGTAGTCGACTGCGGTTTTCATCCCCGACCCAGTGGCTTAAAACTCACACCGGGCGCATGTGCGTGTGTGCCCAAGGTCCCAAGAGGAGAATGGAGGAGAAGGGATTGTGGCGTGGTCATCCCCCCTGTGGGGGGTGACTTCTCGCTTTCTGTCTCTCTGTCTCTCTGTCTGTCTGCCGAGTGCACGTGTCCTATAGCAAAATCCTCTTCAAAAAAAAAAATGTTTCTGCACAGAAAAGAACACAGTAATTGGTGTGGATAGGCAACCCTCAGAATAGGAGAATATTTATGTAAACTGTGCCTCAGATAAAAAACTGAGAGTGAGAATACACAGGGAACTCAAGAGTCCTACTCAAAAAAGAAAAAAATGATCAACCCAATTAAACAATGGAATAGTAAACTGAATAAACAACTCTCTAAGAAAGACATGCAAACAGCCAAAAAAAAGCATAAGGAAAAAACTGCTTAACATACCTCACCATAAGAAAGATGCAGATCAAAATGACAATGAGATACCACCTGACCCCAGTCAGAATGGCAAAGATTAAAACCACAAAAAATGGTAAGTGGTGGCAAGGCTGTGGTGGGAACTCCCTTACACTGTTGGTGGGAATGCATATTGGTCCAGCCAATGTGGAAAATAATATGGCCAGGTTCCTCAAAGATCTACAAATAGAACTCCCATGTGATATGGTAATTCCTCTCCTGAGTGTCTACCCAAAGGATGGGCATACCTTAAACTGGAAAAGTGCTTGCACATCTATGTTTATTGTGGCATTATTCCCAATTGCTAAAACATGTCCACAAACAGATGAATGGATGGGAAAAGTGTGGCACGTATACTCCATGGAATATTACTCAGTCATAAAAAAACAAGATCCTGACATATGATAAAAAATGGACAAATATGGAAGAGTTAGTGCTGAGTGAAGTAGTGCTAACAAAAGTCAGGGTATGAAAGAGAGACATTGTATGTCTCCCCTTAACAGATAATGACTATCTGCACTCTAAAGTGGAAACTGAAAGACTAGAGGCTATTGAAGCAAGTAAAATGTTTAGGGATACTGAAGACAGTGTGAGAAGAGGGTGGGAGAAGGGGGAGAATGTAAGAAAAGTAATTAAGGAGATAAAAAAGAGGCAAGACATTTATGGGACACAGAAATGGATTAATATCTCTTGAGGATAACATGTATAGTATTCTGAATTGGACTGTCGTGAAGCATAGTTATGTTGGGTAAATCTACTTTACAACATAAGCGAAGTATACTCATTGAATGTATAACATAAATTAAAGTAACAAAAGAGTTTCTCATAACTGATGGAAACTACTTTGTTTTAAGAAAGTGCACTTGTTTTGTATGTGCTTTATTTTACATCACTGATCCAAAGTTATAATAGTTATGTGTAAAAATACAAAGCTAAAATACATAGCTAAAAACACTCAGAACAAGGCACCATGTAGGAGCTGATGAATAGAATAAAATTTAAATGAATAGAAAGGTGTCTGTTTTCTTGGAGCTGGCTTTATGGCTTGGGGGATTATAAGAAAGGAACATATCGGGAACCAGCAGTTAGCGTAATGGCTATGTCGCTGGACTCCCACGTAGTCGACCGCGGTTCACGTCCCGGACCTGGTGGCTTACAACTCACGCCAGGCGCGTGTGCATGCGTGCCCAAGATCCTGAGAGGAGAATGGAGGAGAAGGGATTGCGGCATGACCATCCTCCGTGGGGGGTGATTTCTCGCTTTCTGTCTCTATGTCTCTCTCTGTCTGTCTGGCGAGCGCATGCGCCCTATAGCGAAAAAAAAAATCTCTCCCCCCCCCAAAAAAAGGAAAGGAACATATTAATTAAAACATATATAATTATCAGGTGGTTAAAAAAAGCATTTCTCTGTAAAGACAGAGAGACAAATATATGTATATAATTTTGCTCTTAAAAACAATACTTCTCTGGAAAAATGGAGATACAAATATATATATACATAAATTTTCTCTATTTTGAAATCCCATTAAAACCATAATATGATATTTTTAAAGGCATAATTTCAATGAAGATATTACAACAGTACAAGTTTTCAACATGGAAAGTGTATTGATGAGTGATTCCTGACTTATCAGCTCTAAGAAGGCCAAAATCAGGTTATATTCCTCAGTGATAAAAGTGGTGTTGCACATCTTCCTGACTCCTGCATCAATCTTCTAATTGTTAGGAAACCTGTAAAGAAAGGATGAATATTTTTCCCTAATGATCAACATTTATGAGGATTTACTCAAATATGCTTTCTTCCCTATTCTGCTCTGTACGTATTAGTCAAAGAAAAGGACTTATGGATTTTACAATAAACAGCAAATAAATGAGCTATAGAGAAATAACAAAAGTAATAGTACCTCATAAGAAAAAAACAAAAAAGATTTTTCCCCTGGTGAATTAAAAAAGCTTAAAAATTTTATTTATTTAATATTATTTTTAAAAAAATGCTACAAGGCCCATGCACTCACTAAAGAGACATAGATATAGAGAAAGAGAGAGAGGGAATTTGAGAATGTAAGCCACCAGTTCTGGGACTGGAACAATGGCCAGTCATTAGGGAATCTAGTGCCTTAACCACCACATCACTTGCCGGGTCCTCTCCTGGTGAATTAAAAAAAAAAAATTTATTTTATTTATTTAGGTTTTTTTTTTTTTTTTTTTTTGCTCAGAGAGAGACATTGGGAAAATGAGAAAGCAAGTGGCCAGGTCCTGGAATCTAATCGCGGTCGGCCATGTGGGTGTCCAGTATCTTAATCACCATGCCACCTGACAGTCTCTGTTCTGGTGAATTTTTATACTACATTTAATGGAGTACTCACATACCACTGATTATATACCTCTCTTTGATTTACTTCAATTTTTTTTGATGGCAGGTTTTCAAGAAAAGCTTATTAAAATGTACAAAAACAACACCAAAGACATCTTTTCAAGCTTGTTGGAAGGAAAAATAAGTAGAAGTATGCTTAACTAACAATAAAATGAGAAGCTATTTGCTGATCAGTTATAGAGTAATATCTTTGGTTTGAATGACATGCATAGTATTTATGCTGGAAAAAGTAATGTACACTGTAAAGATGTGATTAAATGTAAATAAATTAATTTAAAAAGAAAGAGAAATATATAAATTAGACATTTATTATTTAATCATTTGATATTTTTTTCTGTATCTTTCAAATCTTCTTGACAAGTGCTATTATTCTGACCTTCTCTCTCACAAACATTTGACACATCTTCCAAAGCTGGTAAATAAGAGAGCACTGTTGGTTGGCTGAACCATGTTGAGACAGAAATCAAGATTCAAATTAAAAGCATTTCTTTCCTATCTTTTTCAGGGCTTTGATTACATCTTGGTTTCTCAGGCTGTAGATCAAAGGGTTTAACATGGGGATGATAACACCATAAAACACAGAAGCCACTTTTTCCTGCTCTTGAGACTCACTGGTACCATGGTGCAGATACATGTAAGAGAGAGTCCCATAGAAGATGGTGACTGCTGTCATGTGGGAGGCACAGGTGGAGAAGGCTTTTTTCCTTCCTGCAGCAGAAGACATCTTCAGGATGGCAGCCAGGATTTTTATGTAGGAAAAGATGACGACCATCACAGTGCACGTCAGGTTAAATCCCACAAAAACTGTTAGTAACATAATGTTTAAGTCTATATTGGAGCATGATAAAGCAAGAATTGGGGGTTCATCACAGAAAAAGTGGTTAATTACATTGGATTTACAAAATTTCAACAAGAAAGTAAAACTCACATTTACAGAGGCATTTAGGAAACTCATGGCATAAGAACCAACTAACAACTGAATGCAGAGTCTCCGGGACATGACAATGGAATAGCGAAGTGGTTTACAGATGGCCACGTAACGGTCCACCGCCATAACAGCCAGGATGTAACAGTCACTTGTTGCAAAAGTCCCGTAGACTAGTAATTGCACCACACAGCCTGTGTATGAGATGGATTTATCTGAAACTATGAAGTTTTGCAGCATCTTAGGAGTGATGGCAGAGGTGTAACAGAGATCGACAAATGCCAAGTGTTGGAGAAAGAAGTACATAGGGGTGTGAAGGCCAGAATCAATCTTGATGAGTAGGATCATCCCAGTATTACCTACGAGGGTGACCACATAGATCACTAGAAATACTATGAAGAGGATATGCCAAAACCTCTCTTGACCAGCAAATCCCAGGAGAATGAATTCAGTCACTTCAGTACCATTATTTTGTTCCATGGCTAGCACAGATGAAACATCATCTGGGAAGTGGCAAAGAAGGAAGAGCATAGGAAACTAAGAACGTTGTGATTCTTCAACTTGTTTCAGAATTGGAACTGGTGTAATAATTGCTTTCATAGTGGTGTCCGAGTATACTTTCTGTGACAAAATTAACTTTGATCTTTTCTTTTGTTTTTAAGAGTGATTTTTGCTATTGGAAGTGTGCACTTGCTGGAGAGAGAGTGAAACAGAAAGTGAGAAATCAGTTCCCTCTTGGGATGGCCACACCACTGTCCCTTTTCCTCCATTCTTTTTTCAGGATTTTGAGCACACGTACATGCACCCTTTGTGACTTTCAAGACTCTGTGTCTGGGACTCGAATTGCAGTTGGTCGTGTGGGAGTCTAGCACCCCAACACTAGGCCACCAGCTGGTCTCATTAACTTTGAGTTTTGTTTGTCATGAGTAAATTATTTTAATTTTCATTTTTAAAAAATTTATTTATTTTACATTCATTTACTTTACATCATTACAGCATAGAAAATGTGATTTCCTTTCCAGAATACACTATCTATTGGTTTCATAAAGGATATTTCCAAACATGTTATAGTCAACAAATAATTTCCCATTTCTTGTTTGTTATATATTTTTGTTTTTTTCTTTCTTTCTCCCTTGATTCCCTACTTCTCACCCTCTGCCATTTCCTACCCTCCTCCCATACTGTCCCTGGTGTCTACAATTGCTCTCCATACCTTCCTCCCCCACATTTCATTGATTCACAAAATATCATAATTTTTCTAAATATTTTCAAGAGGAAGTTGAATCTTGACATTCACTTTAAAGAATTTTATCTACAGTTTGAAAACTTTGCCCTGGACATGTTTCCAGGTTATATACTGACACTTCATGAATATATAACTTAAAATATATAAAACAGACTTCTTCCTAATTATGCATTCTTTTGGGCTTTATATATTTTAATGAAAATAGTTTAATTAATTACTAATTTTATATATGCATATCTTGAGTTTTCTTTGAGTTTCTATATGATCTTCTTCCAACTTATGTCCATGGGATTACTTTTTGCCTCCTCCCACCTCCTAATAACTCTACCTTGGCCATCAGAACTCATGGCCGTCTACTGTCCTCTATACAAGCGTTTATCCAAGCATCTGTGTCAACTGGCTATATTCTTTTAAGTATCCTCAATATGTTGTGGTTCAGTGTTTTCATAAAAAAATTAAAAATAATAATGGTCTGAGCATTCTTAAAATTGCATAATAGGTTTACGTGCTCAGTTTCTCTCTGTACTTGGACTGATCATGGACTGATAACACCGAGTCCACAGTCTGATGCTGTCCAGGGACCATACATTGAGGAGCTCTGCTCATCCTTCCTAATTTCCCTATGTACTCTCCTAGTGATGGATAGCAGATTGTTTTCAACTTGTCTTCGATACAAATAACTCAGCATGGAACTTTCTCTTGGGTATATTCTAAAGAGTTAAATTGAATCTGAGCTTGCACATGTTAAACTTGACCAAGTATTGGCAAATCATTTTTGTAATGATTCCAAGTGTACATTCTACCATTGTGCTCGTATCCCCACTTATTTTGAATATTGAAATTTTATTAACTTTTTGGGGGGTAGAAAGGAGGAGACCAGGAAAACAGGTGTAAAGTGACATCTCTTTTATTGTTTATTTTCCCTACCAAAACCAATTGATGATGTATAATATTCTAAAAATTTTTAAATTCTATTTTTTTGGTAAGTTGTCTGTTTACACTTTTTTTTTGGGCAAATACTTCTATTGAGTTGATTTATAAATGTTGTGTTTAAAAAAAGTCTTATATTGGGACCAGCAGTTAGCATAATGGCTATATTGCTGGACTCCCAGGTAGTCGACTGCGGTTCGCGTCCCGAACCCAGTGGCTTAAACTCACGGCGAGCGTGTGTGCGTGCATGCCCAAGATCCCAAGAGGAGAACAGAGGAGAAGGGACTGCGGCGTGGCCATCCCCCCTGGGTGGTGATTTCTCACTTTCTGTCTCTCTGTCTCTCTCTGTCTGGCAAGCGCACGCGCCCTATAGAAAAAAAACTTCTCCAAAAAAAAGTCTTATATTTGAGTTTTTTTGTTAGTTATTTGATCTGATAAAATGTTTAAAATATTCTGTGTTCTGTTAACTTTGTTTATGGTATCATTTTTTAATTTTTAATTTATTTTGCTATAAGTCATATGTGCTCACCAGAGAAAGAGAGAGAGAGGGAGAATATGAGAAATCACCCCTGGTGGGGAAGTTGGGATGATCACACTGAAATCTTTTCTTTTTCATTCTCCTCAGGATTTTGGGCATGGACATGCATATACACACACAGTGTAATTTTCAAGCTACCAGTCTAGAACTCTAATTGTTTATCGGCCATGTAAGAGCCAGTCAGTGCCTGACCAACATGCCACCCATTAGCTCTATTTATGGTGTTTTTTATAGACCAGAAATTATTAAACTTAGATAATAATTCACCATTTTTTGCCTTATTGTTTGTTCTTTTAAAGAAAATGGAATGAATTCCATTTCTTTCACTACTTTGTTTTCCCAGCAGACAAAAACACAAAAATAAAATTTATTTTCTAGGTCAGCAGATGGCATGGAGGCTAAGGTATTGGATTGTTCATGATCAACTGTGAGTTTTGAGTCCCCGTGGCTTGAAATAATGTGTTAAGGCATGTCCCATCCCAAAGAGACTGGAGGAGAGGGGATTACAGCATGGCCATCTCATGAGGGGGTGATTTCTCACTTTTCCTCTTCCTCTGTCTCTCTCTGGCAAGCACACATGCCCTACAGCAAAAAACTAAAAACCAAAACTAAAAAAAACGTGATGTTTTTTGAATCAGTACTTTAATAATTTGATGACTTTTTTTGTGGTTTCTTAATTTTCCAGTATTTATTTATTTCTTAAAATGAAGCTGAGTATATATGCCAAATATTTAAATAGTTTTGAATTAATAAATAACTTTTCTTCTATTTTAAAATAAACTCACAAAATATTAGAACCAATTATGTTTCAGGAAAGAGCTACCAAACATTTATGGAACAACTAATTTTAATATTATATTAATTTCTTCCCAAACTGATCTCATGAAGTGGATGCGTTGACACCAAACAAGTAAAATATAAGAACGGAAATTTAGAATCTTGCTCAATTGTGAATATAGGTACAAAAATCTTTAAAAAATACACATTCATTAACCAATCTCAGCCATGTACTAAACAATTATTGCAAAGGATTAAGGAGGCCTCAGATAATAGCTATTTTCTTCCTTTCTCAAGTTTTTAACCAGTTGAGAAATAAAACAAAGTGACAGTGATGTAGCATTCAGACACATAATGGAAGATAGTTTTTTTTGGCAAGTTCGTGTTGCCAATGAATGTCATAAATAGACAGAATTACCCACCCAGTCTTGGCAGCAATGACTGGGGCGTGCCTCCTGCATATTTAGGGGAGCTTCTCTGGAATGCAGGGGAACATAGACTTGGGCGTGTTTGGCTGCTTCCAAGAGGAAAAAGGCAGAGCAGAGCATGCCAGGTTGATCTTAGATCTACCAAACTGGCATGTCATTACTCCTTTCTAGGGACAGAGTCAATATATGGAGAAAGAGAGGCCTCAGTTACACCAAGTAATACCCTTTTAGGGAAGAAACATCAAAAGCAAGGAAAAAGTATTTTCTATTAGCACTCAAGACCAGTTCCTTTACTTCAGGAATGCAAGCGTTTTTCACATTGGAAAATATATTGATATTATTTTCAATATTAGCATATTAAAGGAAGGAGGCTATATTATTTTTTCAATATACACCAAAAATTACTTGGTAAAATTTACTAAACTTTACTGATTTTATTTAATACTTTTCTAATGTCCTAGCCAGGTTAAAAAGAGATGTAAAAGAAATGAAAGGTGCAATGATGATAAAGGACTAAAATTGTTATTATTTTGAAATGATTTAATTGTTCTCATAGAAAATGCTAGAGAATTGATAGATATATTTTTGCTATAGGTCGTGTGCACTCGCCAGACAGACAGAGAGAGACAGAGAGACAGAAAGTGAGAAATCACCACTCAGGGGGGATGGCCACGCCGCAATCCCTTCTCCTCTATTCTCCTCTTCTGGGGCATGCATGCACATGCGCTTGGCGTGAGTTTAAGCCACCGGGTTCGGGATGTGAACCGCGGTCGACTACCTGGGAGTCCAGCGACATAACCGTTACACTAACTGCTGGTCCCGGTAGATATATTTTTAGTGAACATAATAAAGTTACCTGACTCCCAGTTAATATATAAAAGTTCATTGCATTGGAGCTGGTGGATGGTGTGGTGGTTATGGTGTTGGATTCCCATATGACTGACTTCAGTTTGATCCCAGACCTGGCGGTTTGCTTTCTCACTTTCTCTCTCTCTCTTTCTCTCCTCGCCTTTCTCTCTCTCTCTCTCTCTCTATGGTCAAATTTGAAAATAATAATGAATAAAATAAATTAATTTAAAACAAAAAATTATTTCATTTCTATTCACTGGAAATAGTCAGAAATTAAAAAAATATTTTTAGCATAAGTAACTGCATGGAAATGTAAGAGAGCATTATCATGAGCATCACTGAGAAGATAAACTTCAAGGCTTCAGGAAGATTGCAGCATAGACCTGGTCATGGATAAGCAGAGCACATTGTTATTATGACATGCTCCCACCTCCAATTATAATTTGATTGTAATTCCAATAAAAAGCTTGAGAAAATATTGTCTGCACCTTGGTAAACTGATTCTAAATTTTTTACAGAAGGAAAAAACCAACTAATAATAGCTAAGAAAATGTTGAAGGTAAATTAGGTGCTAACTTATTCTGGAAGCTATCAGAATTTATGATAAAGTGATACTAGAAGGGGACTTCAATAAGTTTGTAGAAAAATGAAATTAAAGTATGAGTTTATTTTTGTGCATACAATTTTAAATCTATGATAGGTAACAATGAGC